TCTCATTTCTGGTGAAATAAGATTTACTTGGTGCAGTATGCGTTCCCTAAGGTCTGCCAAGTTAGCAGGTTTCATTCCGTACACATTATTTTTAACATATCCCCATAAGAAGTAGTCCAATGTAGAAAGATCTGGTGATCTAGAGGGCCACTCTATTTCTCCACATCTTGTTGTCCATCGGTTTGGGAAAGTATCAGTTAAAAATTGACGCACTACTATTGCATAGTCCTTATCTCTGCTGACATACACACACACACACACACACACACACACACACAGGGGGGTGTAAAGTCCAACCATGCAACCTCCACGCGGTACGTCCTGAATAATACTAATGCTGGCGGCACCGTAAATTCTAAAGCTCATAACTCAGACAATTCTCAACAAAAATAGGTCATCAAGTAGTATTTCGGAAACGTCTCGCTGTCATCTTTAACACTGTGTGATAAAAAATGGGATATCTCATTTAAAAAATCATGTTGGCATTGACCTCGCCTTGACTCCTCCACTCAAGGTCAACCGGATATGATCATTCAATAGAACTATTAAAACCTTACAACTTTAATTGGAAATATTTTTCTTAAAAATGTCTCGTTTTCGAGGTATTTGACCGTTTCCAGACTTTTCTAACTAAAGTGATAAGGTCCATTATCGATGATTTTATTAAAAAATTTTTCGAACGAAAGTTGCGTGGCTTGAAGGACGACACATAACGGAAATGTAGACTTGACCTTGAGTGAAGTGACCTTGTCAAAATCAGGCCAAGGTTATTAATGTTTTTTTTAAATAGAAACTACGATTTTTTATTACATATTCTTGTAGCTTGTCTCGACAGCATTCCAAAACACTGTAACAAAGTTACATTTCATCGAATACTTTCCGAGTTATGAGGCTTGGAATTTAAGGCAAGACCGATCACTGATCCGACCAATTAAGGCAAGATCAATTCGAATATGTTTTTAGTCGTTAATAAGTCTTGGCCTTAGAAGTACGAAATACAACCTCCTTGCTTTTATTACAATATCCTGTAAGTTAGCAAATATTCTTCACACATACAAACATAATATTATTATATTTTTATTGAGTAGTGCGCTGAACAACTATAACATTGTTCTGAGAGTTTTGTCATTTAGAGCGACGAAACAAATATATTTTATGAATTTTTTTCACACAGATAGAAAATTTCACGGATGTAATTGTTTTTGGAGATTATTTAATACTGTATGAAAAATATTTATTAACTTACAGGATATTGTAATAAAAGCAAAGAGATTTCATTTCGTACTTCTTGATTCTGTTACAATATTCTTTTATATTTCATACTACATCCTTGTATAACTTAAAATTATTCTTAAAATATTATTAAACAATTCAATAATCAAACCTGTGAATCTGCCCGACTCCGCAAAATAATTAATAAGATATATTTCATTTTCTTGGCGCCGAATATTATTAATAATATTACAAATAATATTACGAATGATATAAATTTTTACAAATAAAATTTGTGAAAATTTGTATTATTTGTAACATTATTATACAATTACAAATAAAATTACAAATAATAATATTACAAATAATATTATTAATAATAAAATATTATTTGTAATAATTTAGGTGCGCCGAGTAGACAAAACTTTCAGTATTGTCATAGAGAGGAAAGGAGAGACAGTCGCGCCCGCGATTCAGATTATAGGTAAGAAAGAATTAGGCTCGCTCGCTGAGCGAGAACGAGGGCTCGAGAGCGACAAGGAGGGAATGATATTCTTTCTTTTTCTCTCTCTCGCTCGCTCGGCGCGTCGACAATAGCCGATCGCGTGGCTCACAAGGATTGACCGAGCTGACTGTGTGCGTATATGGGGGGGGGGGAGGAGAATCCTCGTGCAAGCCCGTCACCAAATTCGCATCACTGATACCAATGACGTCAAAACCGAACAAGCTGCGGACAAGCGTAACTTGTAAATACCGGAGATCAATTGTTTATCAGCTCATAGACAATTAATATGACGAGATACCCGCGGAGACCCGTGTACTTCTCTTTCGTCTTTGCGTACAATTGCGATCAATAAAAAATTTTCACGAATTGTTCGGTTTTGACATCATTGGTATACGTGTGTACGTGGGTGTGTATGTGTACAATTGCGTACACGTACAATTGCGATATACACTCATCACGTTAGCATTGATCATTTTTATTCATGCTAAAAGAAATAAGTATGATTATGTAAAGAATTTGTCTGCGTATTATTATACATTCTACATAGTTTTCCCTGTGATAGCAAAAATAACACACTTGAACAACCTCAACGCTCATATCACAAAGCCTGATCCACTGCGCTACTGAAGCAAGTTGGTAATTCTTCTGCTATAACGACATTAACAGAAAAGACTAAACTTCAAACTGCATTTCTCAAAAACGTTTAAGATTTGCACCGTTTTTGGATAGCATTTGTTACTATTACATCAATATTATACTTTTCTAAAAGCAAAGTCGCGCGGTGATTTCAAGGATGAAGATTCTTCTTGTGTGAGATATTAATTATTCATTCTTTATTAATGGGGAAAGATTTTTCTTTGGTTTAAATGTTCAAGAAAAGTTATTTGTTCTCTGAGAATCTTTCAATTTTTATGTTCGTGAAAAGTTTATAAAATTCGTAAAGAAAGAAAATTATTTTACTACCTACCTGTTCAAGAGTTGCGCATAAGAGATATTTTAACAAATCTGAATCTGAATCAGTCAACAAATTAAATATGTCATTCAAAGAAGCATATGTAGGGTAAGCATAAGTAAGATAAGTATAAATAATAAATTAAATATTATTCTCTGAATATAATAATAAATAAATGTTTTTTTCTTTAGCTGAATCATCGAAGTAAATATTCTATTATAAATTGACTTTTCGGATTACAATATTAATTTGTTTTTTCAGAGTACGCTTTCAAATTGACTCTTCGGAATACGCTATTAAATTGACTTTTCGGAGCACACTTTTGAATTGACTCTTCTGACTACACATTTTTTAGTTGATTCTATGGAGTGCATATTTTTTAATTAACTCTTCGGAGAGAAGAGAAGAGAAAAATTTTATATTTTATTTGAAAAATCGTAATTTTTGCAGAAAATTGATTGATAAAGAAAAAAATTAATTCACGACCTCAACGAAGATCTTAAAAAAATTACTGCAAGAAATGTAGTTGTTATTATATACCATATTGTACAATATTAAAACATACGCGCAATAATTATCTATAATTTGCATATATGGGCATTTATGTAATTATGAGTAATATAAAAGTCATGACGAATTAATGTAGCCGCGTGTTATCTCTGTCGCATCATTGCTAGAAATCGTCCGAACTCTTGAAATTATTTTCTTCCCGAATTATGAATATAAAATAATGTGGGAAGGAAAATAAGTGGGTGAAAGCGGAGACGGCGACGTCTGCTTTACGATAACATCGCTGCTGGCTCGCTTCGTCGCGATTGTCTATTCGCTGGTGGTGAGACAAAGACCGATTCTTCGTTTTTATCTAACTAATCTAGCTCGCTCGTGAACATAGCACAGAACAGAACCAAATAATTATGGACATAGCACGGAATAGTACCAACAAATCGTGGACATAGGCTTAGTAGTTCATATCCATGAAAAATGGACCCAGTTGGCGCTGCGAATCAGCCAACTTTTCCATAACGTTGTAAATGCAGCCATGCCCGCTCTCAGGCTTCTCTCTGGTGGATGTCGGCTATAGCCGGCATTAGGAGCGAAAGGGTTAAGATGGCAGAATTGTGTCGATACTTTAGGCGCATACTTTGATTAATTTTATTATTTCTGGTTTGAGATATAATAAATCAAACTTTTGATTCGAAATCGGACATTTCACTTAATGACCTAATACAACATATAGACCTGAAAATGATTGATATAATGCAAATACATATAATTTTAATTAAATAAATTAGATAAGGTTAAAAAAATATATGGATATATCATCTATATATTTTTCAGGCTCCCCCGATTGATTATCATTATTAGAGTTACAACAAAGATTTTTTTCAAGAAAACTGCAAAAAAATATCGAAGTTCGAAAAAAATTTTATTTCAAATAATTACCAAAAAAGAAAAAAGCTGGAAATACGATACAACATGATAAGAAACAAAACTAGAAATGTAGATATTGTAAAAATAATACTTAAAAAAAAGAAACATAAAAAATCTGTCATGTGTTTACAACAGATTTTTATCAATTTATTATTCATAACAAAGATAGAAAATTGATGTAATCATTTTCAATTGATTGCTCTTTATTCTTTTATCAGAGTTGCAACAAATGTTCCTTCAAGAATATTCGAATATGTATAAAGTATAAAAATCTCTACTGATATTAAAATTTATAAGCTTTTCTTATTGATGTAAACTTGGCAAGCAACTTGATGATAAAAAAGCAATACGATTCAACTGTACTTCATCTGTATCTATTTATTAAATCTATCTTGTATCTATTTATTTTTTATTATTTTTATATTACTTTCCATTTCGTTTGTACCTCAAAGAATAAAAAGATAGAGGGAGGAGGAGAAATAACCAGTAAGCAAATATAAAATATCCAAAAATAGCCAATATCATTTGAAAGAGCATCATTTATACTTGTTTATATCATTCTTTACATTATTTGTATCTCAAAGGGATCAGAAGTAGAGAATTTTCAAAATATGTCCAAGATATATTTTTGCCAACTTTGGAGATATCGCAAAACAGCCAACGTCATTCGAAAGAGCATTGTTTATATTCATATCTACCTTTCTTTACATCGTTTGTATCTTAAAGAGACTGGAAGTACAGGATTTTCAAAATATATCCAAGAATTATTTTTGCCAATTATTGAAATATCACAAAATGGCTAATGCCATTCATAAGAGTATCGTTTGTACCCATTTATACATACATGCACATGTGCGCCATCATTTTCTATAAAATTGTTTCTAAATGGTTTAAACATACCTTATAATCGTCCAATTTCCGTTGCAAAGGAAAGTCATTGCGGCCATTGAAAAAATAATAATATTGGCTCTGAATTCCTTTTTTGTAAAGAGCCATAGCAATCATTTGTGCTACATAATTCTTGCCAGTTCCTGGTGTGCCATGAAAACTCATGACAAGTGCCTTAGGTGAATTATGAGTATAGAAGTGCCCACGCAATGCATTTATAATTGCTTCGTGAGCAATCTGTTGACCATACACATTGGCAGTAAGCATATAATCCAGTCCTATAATTTTATTACATACATTTTTACATACAGAAATGTTTTGTACGTATGTTTATGTATCAATAATTAGTAGGAACAATTTTTTCACTATATAACTATAATAAACAGAAAAGAACATAGCAATATATGAAGATTTATGATTATAACATATACACAAACAGGTTATTTAGTAATAATTCAAGATATTTCCATGTATAACATAAGTATCAATATAAGTATAAACATAAATATTGATTGACTACAAAAAGTATAGTATACAAAGTACACAGAAAATGATGTGTGAAGCTGATCCATATGCCTATTTTCTAGGCTGAGAAATAGTAAAAAGGTCTGTTATTTTGAAAAAGATTATGCCTTCATAGTTCATCCTATGGCATTACATATGTCAATAAGCCTCTTCTTTCATTAATATTTCAAAATTTCATATGATTGTTTATAAAATAGTAAAGTATTCTGTTAATTTTTACTCAATTTGAATATAATATATATGCTTGAATTTTTAGATACTGTATATATATACTATATATGTGTATATAAGAGAAATATAAATAAATATATATGTACTTTCAAAAAATATAAATTAAATATCACTTCTATATTTGGTAAAGTATCAAGATAAAAATATATCCTCACATCTTAGTAAATACAAACCATCAGTAAAATGACAATAATGTTATAATTTCCCACTCAACAATGTAAATGCAATATATATCATTAAATAATTATATTGGAAAATAAAAAATTACTACATCGATGTAACATTACTGTTAGTATTTACTGGGATATATTTAAAATTGAATTAGATTTCTATGAATAAACTATCATGACAATATCAATCATCAAATCAATGATAGTCTTATATATAAGCAATATATGTTTATAATTAATAAACGGTTATAAACTAACAGTAAAAGAGTATACGTTTATAACTTACTGTCTATATCGGAAAGAATATATTCGTCTGTACAACATTCCTGATATACGCATTTGTAATAATCATACACATAATAACTTAAACCGCTCAATGCACCGACTACGCCAAACGTTATGAATTCACATTGCACGAGGACCAAAAAGATTAAGATAAACAAAAGCATAGAAATGAAACGAGCAAACTTCATTCTTAATGAATACCAGTCAATAATATTTTACTGTCTCTTATAGCTATCTTTTTTTCTCCAACATTTTACATGACAAAAGATATCCCAAGTTACGTTTGCATTCCAATAAACAATTATTGTAGTTGAATAAATTAAATTAAACACATAAATCGGAAGAAAATAAAATAAAAATTTTTGTTTTTCATGTATACACAGAAAAACCTTAAAGTGGTTACCGGCGAAAATGGACTTGGTTTGAGAAAATGTGGCGCCCCCTGAAAAAATGGTCATCAACTACATTGATTACGTTAGAGAGAAACCTGAGAGCGGCCACGGCCGCGTTTTGCTTGAGGCGCTTTTTCGCGACTAAAGCCACTAGATATATAAAGTACCGCAATCCGTGGTAAACGACATGGAATAAAAATGGCGTCGGAAGTGTACTTAGTGCAAACGTGCAACTTATCTACACACTAAGTGCAATTCTACAAACAGCTATTGAGTTGTTTCTCGTGTAAGAAATGTCACATATTGACAGGTGTGAAGAGATTGTGATACGAGATTGTAATAAAAAGAAAAAATGACAGGTTGTTGCGTGAATGGATGCAACAATCGGACAGAGAAAGGTTTTAGAGTATTTTGCTTACCTTCTAGTAAAAGGAATAAAGCACGTCGAGAGAAATGGGCTACGTTAATTGGACGAAACACATTGCCCGAAAAGGCATATGTTTGTGAGGTATAATTAATAGTTATAATCGCGTAGAAAATAATGTATTGCAGTTATAAATATTACATAAATATTGTAGGTACATTTTGACAACAATCAATTTGAAAATGAACGAGCGGATGGAAGGAAACTGCTTCGCCCAAATACAGTACCGAATTTACTGCAAAAGCACACAGCTGAAAATGTAGCCGAACAGCCAGAAGCTACAATAAATTCCACTGAGGTGGAAAATATATACTTTTGTTATAGCGCGAATACACTTTTCGTTAAAAAAAAAGATTATATCAGCGAGCCAAATATCAATATCAATAATAGCCGTAGTGTTGCTATGAAATGTTATATTAATAAAAAAAAGTTATAAACGTTACTTATTGTTTCTCTCTCTCTCTCTCTCTCTCTCTCTCTCTTTCTTAATTACACATTATATTTACACAAATAAAGGATGTGATTCATTAAATGCTGTAAACGCTTTGAAACGTCCAAAGAGAAATCATGATTGGTGTATACATTGTTTCAGAGTATTTGCAGCGTGTAATGAATCGCACCCATAGGCCTTTTCAAAGAACCGTATACAGTTGGAATAAAAATGGCGGACGATTGCGGTACTTTATATATTTAGTGACTTTATTCGCGACTGTTTGATATCGCCCTCTGCATCCATTTTTAGCCGGGAATTTGCTGCATCCATTTTCTGGCGCGCCGGTAAAGTCTCCACTTGGAGCGAGTCCGTGCTACGTGCTCAGAACAATGTTATAATATTGTTCTGAGGATTTTCTCATTCAGCGCGGCGAAACAGATGTATTTTATGAATTTTTTTCGCACAAACAGAAGATTTCACGGATGTAATTGTTTTTGAGGATTGTTTAATACTGTTTGAAGAGTATTTGTTTATTCAGAGGATATTGTAATGAAAGCAAGAAGGTTTCATTTCGTACCTTCTTGACTTTGTTATAATACTTTTATAATATTTTATTCTACATCTTTGTACAACTTAAAATTATTCTTCAAATATTATTAAACAATTCCCAACAACAATCAAATCTATGAACTTGTCCGCCTCAGCAAAACAATTAATGAAATATGTTTCATTTTCTCAGCGCGGAATATTATTAATATTATTATTATAAACATTATTATTAATAATAAAATAATATTCATAATAATTTCGGCGCGCCGAATAGGAAAAACTTCTCAATATCGTCATAGTCGCACCCGCGACTCAGATTATAGCCGAGAAAGAATCAGCCTAATTCGCGTCGCTGAGCGAGAACGAGAGCGAGAAAGAGGGAAAAATATTCTCGCTCGTGTCGCCGAGCGAACACGAGAGTGAGAAAGAGGGAACGATATTCTCTCTCTCTCGCTCGGCGCGCCGACGATTGCCGAGCGCGTGCTCGACACAGATAGACCGAGTCGGCTGTGCGTGCGTGCGTGGTGGGGGAAATTCGCTGGCAAGCCCATCACCGATTTTCCATCACTGCCGTGCAACTGAAAGTGAACGTAGCACGGACTCGCACCAAGTGGAGACTTTACCGGCACGCCAGAAAATGGATGCAGCAAATAGTTCCCGGATAAAAATGGATGCAGAGGGCGATATCAAACAGTCGCGAAAAAGCGCCTTATTAAACAATTCAATAATCAAACCTGTGAACCTGCCTGACTCCGCAAAATAATTAATAAAATATATTTCATTTTCTTGGCGCCGAATATTATTAATACTATTACAAATAATATTACGAATGATATAAATTTTTACAAATAATATTTGTAAAAATTTGTATTATTTGTAATCTTATTATACAATTACAAATAAAATTACAAATAATAATATTACAAATAATATTATTAATAATAAAATATTATTTGTAATAATTTAGGTGCGCCGAGTAGACAAAACTTTCAGTATTGTCACAGAGAGGAAAGGAGAGACAGTCGCGCCCGCGATTCAGATTATGGGTAAGAAAGAATTAGGTTCGCTCGCTGAGCGAGAACGAGGGCTCGAGAGCGACAAGGAGGGAATGATATTCTTTCTTTCTCTCTCTCTCGCTCGCTCGGCGCGTCGACAATAACCGATCGCGTGGCTCACACGGATTGACCGAGCTGACTGTGTGCGTATATGGGGGGGGAGGAGAATCCTCGTGTAAGCCCGTCACCAAATTCGCATCACTGATACCAATGATGTCAAAACCGAACAAGCTGCGGACAAGCGTAACTTGTAAATACCGAAGATCAATTGTTTATCAGCTCATAGACAATTAATATGACGAGATACCCGCGGAGACCCGTGTACTTCTCTTTCGTCTTTGCGTACAATTGCGATCAATAAAAAATTTTCACGAATTGTTCGGTTTTGACATCATTAGTATACGTGTGTACGTGGGTGTGTATGTGTACAATTGCGTACACGTACAATTGCGATATACTTATCACGTTAGCATTGATCATTTTTACTCATGCTAAAAGAAATAAGTATGATTATGTAAAGAATTTGTCTGCGTATTATTATACATTCTACATAGTTCTCCCTGTGATAGTAAAAATAACACACTTGAACAACCTCAACGCTCATATCACAAAGCCTGATCCACTGCGCTACTGAAGCAAATTGGTAATTCTTCTGCTATAACGACATTTACAGAAAAGACTAAACTTAAAACTACATTTCTCAAAAACATTTAAGATTTGCACCGTTTTTGGATAGCATTTGTTACTGTTACATCAATATTATACTTTTCTAAAAGCAAAATCGCACGGTGATTTCAAGAATGAAGATTCCTCTTGTGTGAGATCTTAATTATTCATTCTTTATTAATTATTCATTCTTTATTAATGGGAAGAGATTTTCCTTTGGTTTAAATGTTCAAGAAAAGTTATTTGTCCTCTGAGAATCTTTCAATTTTTATGTTCGTGAAAAGTTTATAAAATTCGTAAAGAAAGAAAATTATTTTACTACCTACCTGTTCAAGAGTTGCGCATAAGAGATATTTTAACAAATCTGAATCTGAATCAGTCAACAAATTAAATATGTCATTCAAAGAAGCATATGTAGGGTAAGCATAAGTAAGATAAGTATAAATAATAAATTAAATATTATTCTCTGAATATAATAATAAATAAATGTTTTTTTCTTTAGCTGAATCATCGAAGTAAATATTCTATTATAAATTGACTTTTCGGATTACAATATTAATTTGTTTTTTCAGAGTACGCTTTCAAATTGACTCTTCGGAATACGCTATTAAATTGACTTTTCGGAGTACACTTTTGAATTGACTCTTCTGACTACACATTTTTTAGTTGATTCTGTGGAGTGCATATTTTTTAATTAACTCTTCGGAGAGAAGAGAAGAGAAAAATTTTATATTTTATTTAAAAAATCGTAATTTTTGCAGAAAATTGATTGATGAAGAAAAAAATTAATTCGCGACCTCAACGAAGATCTTAAAAAAATTACTGCAAGAAATGAAGTTGTTATTATATACCATATTGTACAATATTAAAACATACGCGCAATATTCTATAATTATCTATAATTTGCATATATGGGCGTTTATGTAATTATAAGTAATATAAAAGTCATGACAAATTAATGTGGCCGCGCGTTATCTCTGTCGCGTCATTGCTAGAAATCGTCCGAACTCTCGAAATTATTTTCTTCCCGAATTATGAATATAAAACAATGTGGGAAGGAAAACAAGGGGGTGAAAGGGGAGACGGCGACGTCTGCCTTACAATAACATCGCTGCTGGTTCGCTTCGTCGCGATTGTCTATTCGCTGGTGGTGAGACAAAGATCGATTCTTCGTTTTTATCTAACTAATCTAGCTCGCTCGTGAACATAGCACTGAACAAAACCAAATAATTATGGACATAGCACGGAATAGTACCAACAAATCGTGGACATTTGCTTAGTAGTTCATGTCCATGAAAAATGGACCCAGTTGACGCTTCGAATCAGCCAACTTTTCCATAACGCTGTAAATGCAGCCATACCCGCTCAGGCTTCTCTCTGTTCTTACACACACACACACACACACACACACACACACACACACACACGCACACGCACGCACACACGCACACACGCACACACGCACACACGCACACACACGCACACGCACACGCACACACATACAGCAGAGAGGGTCGGAGTCATTAAATACTGCGGGAGTGACGAACCGCGGAGTCCTGATCTCTGTTGACCACACATGCGCGAGCGCACACACACACACATATACACAGTGGTGTAAAGTCCGACCATGTAACCTCCACGCGGTACATCCTGGATAATACTAATGCTGGCGGTACCGTAAATTCTAAAGGTCATAACTCAGATAATTCTCAACAAAAATAGGTCATCAAGTAGTGCTTTGAAAACGTCTCGCTGTCATCTTTAATATTGTGTAATACTGTGTAATAAAACATGGTGTGTTCCATTTAAAAAAATCATGTTGGCCTTGACCTCGCCTTGACCCCTTCACTCAAGGTCAAACGGATATGATCATTCAATAGAATTTTTAAAACCCTACAACTTTGGTTCGAAACATTTTTCTCAGAAACGTTTCGTTTTCCAGATATTTGACCGTTTCCAGACTTTTCTAATACCCTGTATAGTCAAATTTGGAACCCTTTGTTCTTATTCCTTATTTCTATTACCTGCTCCTATTATCTGTCGCCTGGCATTGTGCAATGACATTTAGATTTGAACTTCATGTCTATTTTTACTATATCCATAAAAGATACTATATCCATAATACTATATCCATAATACTATATCCATAATACTATACCCATAATAGATACGATATCCATAATACTATATCCATAAAAGATACTAACTAAACATGACTTCTAGTAATAAAATAATAATAATAAAGTAGCATCGAACCAAAAAAGGTACTATCAACTTTAAAAACATCAAAAATATAATCAATTTGCTAGAAAACAAATCATACTGATTCATTAGTCGATAATTGCCCATCCTTACTGTACACACATACACACGCGTTGACATATACTATACAGGGTGCGGCAAAAGTATCGGACCGGTGAAATATCTCGAAAACAAGATATTTTAGAAAATGTTTTACACAAAAGTTGTAGGGTTTTAAAAAATACATCAAACGCATTAGCATGGCATTATCCTAGATATATCGCAGTGTGTCCATGATGCGCACGCATGCACGCGTATATGGACACACACCAAGCCACCTCCATGCGGTACACCTTGGATAATACCATGCTAATGCTGGCGGTACTTGAACATCAACTCATTTTTCGAAAAATACTTAATAAAAAACAATTTTCTTAGTGTTTTGAAAAACTCAGAGATAAGCTACAAGAATATACGATGAAAAATTGGACGTTCTGTTTAAAAAATTCAACCTAAACTTGAGAGCCCCTCCAAGCTTATGCTCAACGTCAAATAAATATCGGCGTTTGATGTATTTTTTAAAACCCTACAACTTTTGTATGAAACATTTTGTTCTAAAATGTCTTGTTTTTAAGATATCAGGTGTAGTAAAAAGAAATCCATTATTTTTTCAATAGACGGCTTTAGTTATCTGTATCTCGCGTTGTATAAGTCCGATCGGGTTCCACTAGATGGCGTTAGAAAGATGAGATTTCGTACTAAAAAAACTTTTCTGACAGTTTTGTCATTAGTTGACTCAGTTTTGTTTGAGCGCGCGTCAAAGATGGACACTAGCAAAGAGAAAATACGCTATATTTTACAGTTTTTCTTCGATAAAGGCAAAAACGCAAGCCAGGCGGCTGAAAATGTGAATAGTATTTATGGTCCTGATACTGTAACAGCCAATCACGCGCAATTTTGGTTTCGTCGATTCCGTTCCGGTAATTTCGATGTCAAAGATGCACCACGCACTGGAAGGCCAATTGTCGAAAATATCGATAAAATCATGGACATTGTCGAGTCCGACCGTCATGTAAGTACTGTTTCGATTGCCCAAGAGCTAAAGATTGCACAAAAACCGTTTGGAACCATTTGAATAAGGCTGGATACAAAAAGAAGCTCGATGTATGAGTGCCACACGAATTAACGCAAAAAAACCTCATGGACCGAATTTCCATCTGCGAATCGCTGCTGAATCGCAACAGAATCGACCCATTTCTGAAGCGGTTGGTCACTGGTGATGAAAAGTGGATCACTTACGACAACATCAAGCGAAAACGGTCGTGGTCGAATCGCGGTGAGCCGGCGGAAACGGTGGCCAACCCAGGATTGACGGCCAGGAAGGTTTTGCTGTGTGTTTGGTGGGATTGGCAGGGAATTATCTACTATGAGCTGCTCCCCTACGGCAAAACTCTTAACTCGGAACTGTACTGTCAACAATTGGACCGTCTGAAGGAAGCAATCGCCCAGAAGCGGCCAGCTTTGGCCAATAGGAGAGAAATTGTGTTCCATCAGGACAACGCCAGGCCACACACATCGATAGTGACTCGCCAGAAGCTCCGGGAACTTGGTTGGGAGGTTCTTATGCATCCACCTTATAGTCCGGACCTGGCACCAAGTGATTACCATCTGTTCCTGTCCATGGCGAACAATTTTACTGGTGAAAAATTCGCTTCAAGAGAGGCTTGTGAAAACCGACTGTCTCAATTTTTTGCCAATAGGGACGAGGGCTTCTATGAGAGAGGCATAATGAAATTACTTTCAAAATGGCAACAAGTTATCGAACAAAACGGCGCATATTTGACCTAAATCATTCTAACTATGGTAATTAAAGCCTTCACTTTCATGCAAAAATAATGGATTTCTTTTTACTACACCTGATATTTCATCAGTCCGGTATTTTTGCCGCACCCTGTACCCAGACAGCACCAGACATCCAATGGATGTACGTTTCACGTCCAATTTATGTCCGTATGTCCGATTTACGTCCGTGGACATAAATTGAACGTAACAAGGATGTCCTTATTGGACATCGGACCTGTAAGACGTCCGATGTACGTCCATCGGACGTCCTATGTCCGAAGTTGTGACAAACGTACGTCCTATGGACATCTTTTGTAAAAAAAATGGACATATAACGGACGTCCAATGGACATCAGTGTGCTGTCTGGGTATATGCGTGAATGTTTTGTCACAATCACAAATAATGACTAAATTGAAAATTCAAGATCAATGTTAGATATTAAAATCTTTCCACATTTCAACATTGATACATATTGTGCAAAGATAATGTTATATTTAAAATAATGAAATGATATAAAAAATCTGTTGTATAATCGAAAATGATTAATTATTGTGATATTATTTAAAAATAAGTGTCAAAACATAATGAATACAGTTATTCTCTAACAAAAAGACAAAATCATCTTATTAGCTAAATATATTTAAATGACTATGTAGCATCTAGTCAATGAGATAACTTTGTATCTCCTACTGAAAAAACAACAAACAAACCAAGTTATTGCTGAACAAAGAGTCTTCTATTAATAATGGCATTATAAATATATAACAAGTTATTTCCCAATACTGATCAGTACATAAGAAAGAATGTAGTGAATTAAAAATCTATAAATTCTGTAGAAAATAAAAAAAACATTGTTTCAATCGTTGTATATTTTTAATGGTGGACCAATGTATTCTAAACTTGAGGAGTAGAAATCTGGTGGACTTTCTACAACTGATAAGTGCACTTCCTCAATTACATCTGTTGATTCTGTGCATAGTTTAGATTTTACAGCTTTAAAATATGTACATGGTCTTGGTCCATGGCCGAATATATCGACATCATATGGTGGACTGAGTATGTCCAAAAAAGCTGCTGGTCCTTTGATGCAAGAAATTTCATGTAAATTCTTGTCCGATGGTGTGAGAACACAAGCAGATGAATTACTATGAAGAATAACTGGCCGATGCCTAACAGCCACAATTTCTTCATTTGCCTTAATTATATGATCGCTTTTTGCCTTCAAACTATAACTGTTCAATTCCACTATACCACTGATCACCTATATATTTTAATATTCCATATTATATCAATGTATTTATGAATATAATCAGATTAGTATCTTATTATTGCATATAAAGCTTGTTCTGTTTAATTGATTTAATCCTATTAATACAACTAGAAGAACTATAATCTAGAAGAATTATAATCTGTAATTTTATCCTTTTTTTCATTGTTTATATACTTATTTTAATATGCAAAAAGTGCAATCTGGTTTAGCTAAAGAGAACAGACCTATAAACATTTTAAATTGATATCTTATATATCTTTATATTCATTGTAAAGTCAGCTGCAAGTAGACAACACTTGTTACAATAATAATCACAAAAATTAGCTGAACTTCATCCGTTATAAATGCAATACTTATTTAGTATTGCAGCAGTAAATTCTAATTAAAAACTTATTGATTATAAATAGATAACTGACCTCTATTCAGAGATTTTCTGATTATAAATTTCTGTTTGTGGAACCTCTAATTACATATAAATTATTTTATATAATTATATTTTGTAATTATAACTTATAATTATTATAACTAGAAATTTTTCTTCTAATCATAAACTTAGTACTTATTAAAGTACTTCATAAACTTATTAAAGTTGTATTACTGCCTTTCTAACGAACAATGTGTTTATAACAGTTCATTCTTATATCTGCTTGCAATTGATATTGCAACAAATATATAGGACATTTACCTTCAACAAACCATGCATTCCGGGATGATCATGCATAGGCATTGTGATTCCATGTTTAAGTATGAAAATTGCAATTGTTATATCTTTGTTTTCGAATATGTCCATCGCACACATAGGTGCTGGCTGTACACTGACGAAGTCGAGGATACTTTTGTCTAGTTTTACATCCTCAGCAGTTATTTTGTTCATTAGACTCCACAATTTGTCTAAATTTTTTTGGCAAAGTCTGTAGTTGACACTTCTGCGATCGCCAAATGTCTTCATCGCCTGTTTCGCTAAAATTTCGACCGCCGATGCCATGTTGATCACAACTTAATACAATTTTTCCTTTTTATCAAGCTTATCTTCTGCTGAACATCATTCAGATGAACAACTATAATATCAAGATGTATATCTGAAAAACGCAATTCACGATTGGCTATTTCGTTTTTACCGATCATATCGTAACCTTAATTGTCATTTACATAATAATACACATATAGCAAAAGTGAAGAAGTTCAAACACTATTGAAGAACAATAAAACATTTAGTTATCGCACGTATGTATGTGTGTGTGTGTGTGTGTAACTTCTCTAATATTATATATGCTTAAAACAACTTCTAAAAAGATGCATTTGGAGGAGATATGCAATCTGTCATCAAAAAAACAACCTTTTATCTTTGTTTGAATGAATCTTTAAAATATCACGTAATTTCTGAACTAGTAGGACACATTTATATCACTTACAAACGTACTTACGATAGCCAAATATTTACAAGATTATATACGATCTAATATAGTTTCTAAAAAAGTGATAACTCGTGAAAATTAACTTGTTCATATACTCGTAAGCATATGATAAAGTTACTTAATTTTTATCGTTACCGTTTTGTGAATATTTTCGAGGATTGTATAAACACAGATAGATTAGAGTAGTAAAATAAAAATGAGGTATATTTATCACTATATTATACAATTCTCTACGCTCATTGGGTACTACGTTAAGAAAACGTATTTTCATTGGACGTTGTATTATCGAATATTAACCATGCAGTTTCATCTCTAGAGAAGGAATGTCATTCATAGGTGTATTCGTTTTATTTGCAATGTGTAGAGAGAGAGAGAGAGAGAGAGAAAGAGAGAAAGAAAGAAAAACAAAGGATTTTAACATTCAAAAAATTTTCTGTCCAATAACCTTTTTGGTTAGGACATCTAAGGAAAGAGGAAGATTCAAAAAAAATTTTTTTTTCTTTCTATATATATTTTTAACTTCTTTTCTAACTTTTTCTTCCTTTTCTTCTTTTTTGCTCTTTCTCTTTAAACTTTCACAAACAGACGAAATGCTTATTTTTATAAAATCAATATCATTTGTTTTTCTGACCGCATTAATAACAATATTTATTATTTATATTCACTTTGCATATATATTGGACATATATTTTCAATGGATATTCAACAATAATGTTCAGGATATGCAACAGTATGATTATATTGTTGGTAAGTAATATAACTTAAAATATATATATTATGTAATATTTGTGTTATTATTTTTACATATGTTTATGTACATATGTTTATGTAACTTATCATATATATATATGCAATTAAAATAACTGGTACATTTCATATATCATCTTATAAAATATATTAAATACAAATGATTATAATTTTTATATGTGAAAACCAGGGTAATTCAATAGCAAAAGTTGATTATACTTTATATATTATTCTAATTTCTATATATTTGTTATAATATACACATATATATATGTAATAATAGATATTGTAATACTTTATTAGTTGGTGCTGGTAGTGCTGGTGCAATTTTAGCAGCACATTTGGCAGAAGATGAGCACAAAGTATTATTGTTAGAAGCAGGTGGTACCGCACCACCCTTTCTTAGCATACCACTCTTAGCACCAGCGATACAAAAAACTGTTTATGATTGGCAATATGTTACTGTACCTCAGAAATATGCATGCAGAGGATTAATCAATAATGTAAGTAATATTTATATGTTTAAAAATATCTAGTATATATGTTATCAAAAATTTCTACAGCAAAGTATATGGCCCAGAGGTAAAGTTCTTGGAGGATCAAGCCGCTTAAATTACATGGCTTATGTACTAGGGCATAAGTTGGACTATGAAGAATGGTTTCCAGACTTTCTGCGTGAGATTTTCATATAAATAAATAAATATATATATATATACATACATATACATATATATATAATTTTTTAAGAATATGTTTAAATATTTGTAAATTTTTCTCACTTATGTATTTTCAGAAACAGTTGCTGAGAACAATGATTCAGTAAGCACAAGTGAGTTGAGATGGCAATCTGATTTTGCCAATGTGATTTTGGAAGCAATAAAAGAATTAAATTACGATATCGGCAACATGAATAAAAAACTGACTACAGGTATCATTTTTAAATAAAAGTTGTTAATATATATATATATTACATTAATGTATATTTAATGTTAATGTATAGTTAATGTATATTACATTGTCTCATTTAGGTTTCATGAAAGTTCAATTAACAATGGAAAATGGTGAAAGATGGAGTTCGGAAAAAATACTACATAAAAAATGTAAATATTCTCCAGTTATACTTACTCACACATTCGCAACTAAAGTAAGCCTATCCAAAAAATATTGTATTCTTTATCACATCCTAAAACTAACAATAAATAGTTAATTGACATTATATTAGGTATTAGTAAATTTGAATAAAGCTGAGGGAATTGAATTTGTTCGATTTGGTAGCAAATATACTGCTGTAGCAAAGAAAGGAGTTATCCTAAGTGCTGGTGTGATTGAAAGTCCAAAATTATTAATGTTATCTGGTATTGGACCAAGAAAGCATTTAAATGATCTTAACGTAAGTAATATTCCATAATTAATTTCAGCTTTAGATGTATTAAAACACATAGCTCTATAAACTTATTATTTGATCATAAATGATTTGATGACAACAAAGAGAACTTTTAACTTCTTTCTTGATAGAAGAGAGATGAATATGTTATTTGCAAATTTTCATGCAATTCATAATATATATTGATCTATTTAAATTTGTTGATTCAAGTTGAAATCAAAACACATTTGTATATTTGTATATATAATTATAGTGCAAATATAGTTCATTTTTATCTATTCATTATCTTATAGTTTTGTGTTATCGATTATCTATTATGTTTTAGATTCATGTGATCAATGATTTGCCAGTTGGTCAAAATTTGGTAGATCATATATTAACTGGTGTTGATTTAGTCACTCTTAATGTAAGCCTTGGATTGAACCTTTTTCAAATTTTGAATCCTGTATCAGCCTTAAATTATTTTCTTTTTGGGAGAGGTAGGAAAATACCTTGATGAAATAGATATTCTTTTTATATCTTTTCTTTTTTTTTTAAATATATACATACATACATATATACGAGGGCTGAAAAGTTCTCGGCCTAACAATGAAAGAAAATTTTTTTTCTGTGAAATGTTTTATTTTTTAATATAATCTCCTGAAACTTCAATACATTTATTCCAACGTCTTTCCAATGATTCAATACCATCATTAAAGTGTGATTCCGGAAGGTTCTTTTTGCTCTGGTGTATAATTGTGGATTCAAGTTTCATCAATAGTTATGAAACGACGCTTGAAATCCATTTTATTTTGCTTAAAATGATTAAGATGTACCAAACACGCTTGAGAAATACACATTCGAATGCGTTTTTGGTTAATTGTTAGCAAATGCGGCACTCATCTTGCACAAAGCTTTTTCAACTGGTGTTACTATTTAAATGACTTGACAGATCGAATAAAATTTTACATGGGTTTATATCAGGGATGCCACTTTCCAATACAATTATAGTTTGACAGTTTCTAATGCTATGTATGTGTCAGGTCAAGAACTTTTCAGACTGCCTATGTACATACATGCATATGTACACATACATACACACACACACAATTTATTCTATATATTTAAAAACTATATTTAAAAAAATATATTTTTTTAAATACATAAGTTTTAAAGTATAAAATTTATCAATTTAATTAGGTCAATGGACATCAACAGCAATCGAAGTATTAGGAACTTTCCATAGCGTTGCAAACAAAAATAAATCTGCAATACCAGATTTGCAATTAATGGTGCTATCTCTTGGTATATCAAACGATAATGGTATTATATTTAAAAAAGCAATGGGATTTTCTGATGAGGTATACACACACACGCGCACACACACACACACACACACACATACATACATACATACATACATACAATGAGCGTATGCATGTGTATGTATATTCACATAATAAAAAATTATCTTTTAACACAAACTTGTAACACATCAAATTAGACCAAAATTAGAACTGTCATATTCAGACATTTTATTTAAAAAACATTTTATCAAATATTTTATTTAAGAACTTACATTTTTGTGAAAATGTTTTTACAGGTCTATAACAAATACTTCACTCCATTGTTGTATGAAAATACAATAATAATAGCGCCTATCTTATTACATCCTAAAAGTAGTGGGGAATTACGATTACGTAGTAATAACCCTTTTGATAAACCTCTCATTGATCCGCAATATTTATCCAATGAAGATGACATTGAAACTCTCGTAGAAGGTAATTAACACATATATAATATTATAGTATACACTTTAATTATATTAATATAGACACTATCATAGCTTAGAAAACATTACATTTCTCTACAAACATGTTTTATATGATGTAATATAAAAATGTTCAGGTTTGTATTTTGTAAAGGATTTATTGGAAACAAATGCTTTAAGAGCTTACAGCGCGTCTCTTAATAAAAAATCTTTTCCCGGTTGTGAGAACGAAACATTCGATACTAGGGAATATTGGAGATGTTATATACGACACTTAACATTAACAGCTTATCATCCAGCTGGTACATGTCGCATGGGCGATGTCGTTGATACATCATTCAAGTAATTTTCATTATAAAATACATATTATAACTTGTGTAATATATACGTTATATATTTATGTTCACTTACAGAGTGCATAATATGACAAATTTATATGTTGTGGATGCGTCGGTTCTACCATTGCTACCAAGCGGTAATATCAATGCAGCTGTAATCGCGTTGGCGCAAAAGGCTTCTCGTATATTTAGAAATGAAAAAATAAAGGAGAAAGAAGTATAAAGTATATATTGTATGTTTATTTCTATTTCTAATATATTTGTAATTTATGCAAAATAACTGATATAACTGGTAAAAAGGAAAATTTATAACAAAATACTCTATTAATTGATAACAATGACCATAAATTAATTATCAAAGTAATGATTTATAACATTATATTGATTAATGTTATATTAATAGAGACAAAATTCATAGCTAAATAAAGTTTTATAACATTGTTTTTTTCATATTACGCAAAATATTTGGTCATATATATATATATATATACACACATACATACAAAATATATATGATACAAAATATAAATTCTTATAACATATTAAATCAACTTACAGTTAGCAGTTACATCCACAAGTTATACTTAAGATTATTATATTTATTAAATATATTATATTTTAAAATGATACAACTCTTGTGTATCAAGACCATTAGAGCTATTATATATAGACAAATATAAATAATATGACTTTAATAAAAGATTCAGTAAATCAAAATTAAGAATCATAGAAAATCTAACACATAAGAGAGAAATAATCTGAAAATTTTATTATCAGTGATAAGTCCATCTTTTCTTATTGCTATTATATCGTGAATAATCATTAGAACGATAATTATTGTAATTATTCTCTCTACAATGTATGTATGGTCTTTCATCTCTATAGTAATCGTTATGATTACGCTCTCTATTCCTTTCTCTGTCTCTATCTCTATCCCTATCCCTATCCCTTTCTCTATCTCTATCCCTATATCTATCTCTATCTCTAATATTATCTCTCTCTCGACATTTATCCCTATCTCTTTGATAAGGATGTATTCTCTTAAGATTTCTATCACTATTATTGGAATCCATGTCTAACAATGGAAAATTGCCTAGAGTTATCTGAGTTTGATGTTGTAATTGAATTTGCTGCATCATGTTATCCACATATTGATCTACTTGAACTTCAGCATTGTTCTTTGGCTTCATAATAAGGACACGATCATACAATATTGTACCCATAAAAAGATGTAAAGCATACTTGACAGAGTTTACATGTTTATATGTTATAAATCCAAATGTTCTTTGTTTGCCATCACGGTCCTTAGGAATAGATATTTTTTGTACAGGTCCTGCCTGAAAAGTAATTAATGTTTATATTAATATATGTATATATGTATATGTGTGTTTCATATATCATAAATATATATACACATTTACTTAAATATTTTTAGTAATATTAACATCCTATATCATAGTATATATACATGTTATAAGCTGTTTTTTATACAAGTTATTATACAAGATAAAAATATTAATTAGACTTTCCTCCTTTTATATTTTTAATTTTCTATTTTTTAAGTTACACATTTAAATTTAACATAGGTTAAATCATGTTTTAATAGATGTCTTCCACTCAGTAATACAGATCGACATAAGTAGATCTGTTAATGTTACTTTTGCTTTCTGTTTAATTTGTATCAATGTGTGCACATAATATAAATCAATTTTGCATAACTTATAATTATTTAAATATAAAAGTGAATGGGTGTTCTGATCTGTGTAAACATGTGTCAACATATTATATAAGTAAATAATACTTAATGTAACCTTTATAGAATACTAACTTGTAAAAATAGCTCATAAAGAATGTCTTCAGTCACTTTGCTGCTCAGATTTCCACAAAAAATAGTACGTCTATCTTCATCCATGTTTTGTTTACAAATTTATGTAGATTATTAATAATAAATTTAGCGTATTTGATGCAACAAAAAACTCACAATTCCTATCATTCCTATACAATCTTTACCTATAAAGACCACAAGCTTTAACTATATAATCTGGTTCTGGTTCTGGTTCAATAAATGGCTTTGAACAGAGCTGTTACACTCTATCCCCTATGCCAGTTAATGATTATGAAGATAAAAGAAAAATAGGGACAATGCGTACGCAGTTCTCACGATCAAAAAATATGCATAGTTATAGAAACCACATCCAACCGCCACAGAAGCGAACAAAAGATTTTTTAACTATATAATCATTCCTTCCTTCCTTTCTTCAATAGATGGCTCCAGGGCAGGCAAACTCTTATGTTATAGGCTGTGACATTGGAATGAGCGCCGCCGATAGACACGGGGGCGAACTAAATTTAATGGTGTCGTTTCGAGCGACAGTTTTCTTACTGCTGAATTCACACTGCATCCGACGTGCGTCATCCGTTATCCGACGGTACGAAGCCGTGCGAAATGCTGTTCATACTGCATACGTTAACTAATACGATTTAAAGTCTGTAGGTGGCGTAAATGGTTAATGGTGACTACAATTCCTCTAATAGTAATATGCGCATAACTTAAAAAATTAGAATTGATATTTATTTATTCCATAGACATATATAATAGACTGAGCATAGCGGGTTTGGCAGAACGGTGAGAGAGGCAAGATATCGGGGAAGTTTTCTTTCCTTGTCTGCACAGGTCGAATGCGCAATCGTCTAGTGACAGCCAATGGCACAGACTCATGACAGCAAGAAATACGCATAAGCGTAGTTATGTACGGGCAACAAGATATGTGTAATATATATATGTGTAAGATATGTGTAATATTTTTCTTCACTATTGTTAACTCTACTTTATCGCCTACTTTCCGACCATAAGAAATGTCTTGTATGAAAAAAGTCTGACATGAAAAAATGTCTTGTATGCTAAAATGTCTTGTGTGCTAAAATGTCTCAAACTAAGTAACAAAACTCTATTCTGTCTATCGACAATTCTAATGACATAAACTTTATAATATATTAAGATGAGTAAGGTATACCATCTTTTCCCAATTTTGTCCAGATTGCCCTTCATACCATGCGTTATCGTACGACAAATGTTGGATCATGACCAACATTTTGTCCGACATCGGACGATGACGGACGGCCAAGCGATCCGATGATACGAAGTAAAATCCTGCTTTTTGATTGGTTGCGGAGCGTCGTACGACGTACGTCGGATGCAGTGTGAATCCAGCATATGACTACGTTTACACGGCTTCTAAAGCTAAGACTCCATGCATGCGGTGAGCTGCGGCAAATGCTGCGGTGACCAATCAGGAGGGAGGCGCAAGTCCGGTTGCGGCAAGCTCCGGCATGCGTCTGTCTCCTGATTGGTCACCGCAGCCGTTTGCCGGAGCTCACCGCATGCATGGAGTCTTAGCTTTACTTCTTAATTTAGGCTTACTTCATGTAATGTAAACGGGCTAACTTCTTATTGTAGATCGGGCCTAAGAAGTAAGACGAAATGGAAATAATTTATTTCACTTACTCCCTAAAGCCAGCGGCACACGGTGCTTGTTTTCGTGCTGGATTGCTTGCTGGATGAAAATATTGCGTTGTGATTGGTACATTTCCGAAGATTGATGAAAATGTACCAATCAGAACACAGTATTTCCATCCAGCAAGCAATCCAGCACGAAAACAAGCACCGTGTGCCGCTGGCTTTACTCTAGTTTCTTACGCTGCTCTTACTTCTTAAGCCAGCGGCACACGGTGCTTGTTTTCGTGCTGGATGAAAATATTGCGTTGTGATTGGTACATTTCCGAAGATAAATGGAAATGCACCAATCAGAACGCAGTATTTTCATCCAGCAGGCAATCCAGCACGAAACAAGCACAGTGTGCCGCTGGCTTTAATTTAGGCTTACTCCATGTAATGTAGACGGGCTAACTTCTTATTGTAGATCGGGTCTTACTATTTACGCTTACTTTTTACTGCTTACTGCCATTGTAGACGACGCTTAATAAATTACACCACATTTTGGAACGACGTTGAGTTAACTCCGCTACTCCGAATAGAGTTTTGGAACGCAGCCTAAGCAGTAAGAAATAGACCAACCATAATCGATTATTATAAAATAATCGATTATGGTTGGTCCATTTCTTACTGCTTACGCTCACAACCTTATTCTTGCAGTCATTGTAGATGGACCTTTCGGTTCCTCTCTGCAGTCAGTGGGTGCATTCAGTACTACAACCGCTCACTGAGCGCTAAGTGAACTCTTGCATCTGATTGGTATATATTTTTAAATCTAAAGGAACATACTAATCAAATGTAAAGGTGCCTTTACATGGGAACGTCGAGCGTCGAGCGTCAAAGCGTCCAACCAATCAAAGTTCCTTGTTTTTATCCCTGAAATAAGAAATGAAAAACTGATTGGTTGGACGCTTTGACGCTCGACGCTCGACGCTCCCATGTAAAGGCACCTTAAAAGCTCAGTAAGCGGTTGTAGTACTGAATGCACCCAGTATATATTTTAGTGCTTACAACCGAAAATAGCACTTTGTAATTAGTAGTTGCCATTCTTCGCACCTTGCAATTGGGTGTTTGCAACCTATTCTGGACCAGCCTTTACTAGAATCGGACTATTTTAATGTACGCGACTGTACGTTGAATGTGTTGTGAAGTGAATCTTCTGAACGATTAAAGTGTTTTTAATATCTACTTCATCAGAGGGCGTATCAGGAGAAGCTTCAAAAGATACCTATATAGTGTAACCTCTCTAAGCACTTTTCTCTGATATTTATATAGAAATTTGTATGTAGACTCGTGAGTTAATGAAATTATATGGTCGTTGTGTTTCTGTCCGTAAAATATATCTGTTTTTGATAGAAACATGTGGTTAATGGATTGTGACAGTTTTGCTGAACTTTGTCGGGGGTACTTGCCATATTATTTACTAATATTTTTGCCCATCTTTATCATCATTTCGCCGGTCAATCCTGTGACTGCCTCCCACGAGTTTCCTGTGTATCGTATGCAACAGTATGACTTGCATGGGATTCCGCATGGTAAGATGTTTCTTTTATCAGTAATGATTTTGCAGGATATTACAACTTTCTAATTTTTAATCAGTTAATATATGTATACAAAGTTAAAAATATATATTTTAATTAATTATTCTCTTCCGAAAGATTTTTTGTTAACCTTTTATTTATTTTTATTATGCTTTTATTTCTAAATATTTCTAAATAAAAATAAGTTTAGAAACTAAAACATTCTTTTTATATATGCGATAAAGATAAATATGTCATAAATTTTAGTGCAGAAAATTAAATTACTAATATATATAATAGAATCAAATTTTTAATAAAATATTATATAAAACAACTATATGACAGATATTAGATAAAAATTATATTTTAATAACTTGTACATAAAAAATATATAAAAAAATATACATATAAAAATTGTTGGTTAAAAATATTTAATATGCAGCATGTCTTAAAAAAATATAATATAACCATAAGGATGATTCTGAGAATAAAAAAAGATGAAAATATAGAGTAAAATTTTTTCATAGGAAATTTTATTCCTGAAGAAATTAAATTTTTGAAAATTTGTTTGATATATGTGGATTTAATTAACAATATCATTTAATTGAATATCTAAATTTTTTATTTGTGTTTGTAAACAATCAATTTTATGATATAGAACAATAAAAAATAATAAAAATTATAAGAAGTTAATTACTGCATTAATACAAAAATTACAGCAAATTTGTAAATATGCTTTTGTTGCATACAATTTTCATTACTATACTAGATTAGAGATTCATATAAACTGATGATAATATATTTGAAACTTTCAGTTTTGCAAACACTTGTATGATACTTCTCGATTGAAGATGATATATTTTTTTTTATTGTAAACTGTCTAATATGATCTTATATATAAATCAAGTGGAGTAACTTTAGTGATCTTATATATGAAGATCAAGTGGAGTAAATTTAGTGATCCTAGTAGTAAAATTATTGTTCCACTAATCTAATATCTGTTTTATTTATTTAATAAGTTTCTAATATCTCCATTTAAATATGATAAATTTAAATTTGATAATATCCTAAAATTAGAAAATTAATCTGATAGTTATCTAATATGCAATGATATACTGGAATATTACAACTAGAATATTATAAAGTATATCAGATAACAATTAATTTTCTAATTTCAGGATACTATCAAATGATATACTTTATAACTAGAATAAAACCTTGCACAAAAATACAAATAAAAAGTCTTTGTTAGATTATTTGCAAGAAAATAAAATTGCATAATTTGATTGCCATTTATGCTAACTTATTAATATTTAATTTCTTTTGAAAATAAGTTTTACATATAATATGTGGATTCTGAAATATCCGTCAATGTATATTATAAATATTAAAAATTTTATTTCTTATAAACATTGATTTATTGAATCATAAAATTTACAACATTGTCCATTAATGTGAAGCTGTTGAAGTAGCCCATGGCAGAAAATTATTCATGTGTAATATATTTATGTTATATATTCATATAGAAGTTTATAAACTTAAGTTGATATGGGTGCATTTCAGATAGTCAAGTATATGAAAGCAGATTTTACATAGTATCTAATGCAGGCTTTTGCTAGAAGAAATACAACAGGATTTGGTAACAAAATATGAAGGCAGTCTGATGACAGAAACTTTGAGCAGAATTTGTTAACAGATTCATAGATATATGTATTTCTATTTTGCTCATATTTTATTGATAAAGTCTATTGGCAGAATTTGACAGTAAATTGGCAACAGAAAGTGAACAAAATCCATAGCATGTTTCATTTAAATACGTTCGAAGGACAGATCCTGCTTATCTTGCATATCAGATAATGATTAATTTTTCAATTCTATGATACTATTCTCTATCATATTTAAATAAAGATTTCAGGTATGTGTGAAGTTGGCGTAACATTTTCCGGAAAATCATGTTATTGAGAGTTCTGGCTTCTGAATAGTACTAGAGTTCTTGCTAAGTCAAACAAATGGTTCCATTGATTAACGCAAAAAAAATGGCCCTGGACAAAGTGATTTGCTAAGTGATTTCATGCTGCGTATCACTTTGTCCTATATGATTTCCGTACACATACATTGTCAGATTTTGCAAAATATATAGTTCTACTATAGTTCTGTAAAGAGTTTTGTTCCATAAAAGCAAAAAAGAATGATTCTAATTAAGTAAAGGTTAGCGATAATATAGTAATAAGCATACCGACTTGAGATGCTATCAAAATCTCAGAGGTCTGGCCTTTCCAAAAGAGTTCTCAAATTGTTATAAGCATAAGAAACATTTTCTAAAGAGTTCTGAGCACTAACAACGTTGTATGATTTTTAAATAAATTAATACTGCCCGAGCGCGGCATGTTTTGAGAAAGTAGGGTGAGACGCTAGCCGAAATCTCGTTGTTCTCGTTCATCAAATATTTCTCGTATAGTTCTTAACATACTAAAGCATTTTCTAAAAAGTTCTGGTCAACGTTGTACGATTTTTAAATAAATTAATACTGCTCGAGTGTGCCGTACTTTGAGAGAATAGGGTGATACGCTAGCCGAAATCTTGTAGTTCTCGTTCATCTAAAATATTTTTCGTATAGTTCTCAACATACTAAAGCATTTTTTAGAATTTTAGGCACTCACAACGTTGTATGATTTTCAAATAAATAAATTAGAGCTTTTCAAATAAATAAATTATAAAATTTCGTCTATCGTTTCGCTCTATTCTCTCAAAGTACGACGCGCTTGGGCAGTCTTAACTGATTACAAATCATACAACGTTGCGAATATCCAGAACTCCTTGAAAAATGTTTTATTATGCTCATAATTATTTAAAAACTCTTCTGGAAAGACCAGAGCTCTGAGATTTTGATAGCGTCTCAAGTCGTTTATTATTGTATTATCGCTAATCTTCACTTAATTATTGGGTGAGTGCAAAAGTTCGTGCGGAGTTTGTGAGTAAAAGTCACACAGTGATTAGGCAAACAAAAATCTTTATTCAATCAATGATATATTCTCCATCGTTTTCTATAATCTTTTCCCAACGTTCTGGCAGCATACGGATGCCTCGATTATATAAACTGCGCGGTTTAGATTCGAAGAACGAAGAGACGCCGTTTTTTAAGGCCTCCAAAGAGTCAAAGTTTTTTCCATTCAAATAATTTTGCAATGACCGGAACAAGTGATAGTCAGATGGTGCGATATCAGGAGAATACGGTGGATGCGTTAAGACATCCTATTTCAGGCTCTTCAGTTTGCGCAGCGTCTTTTTCGAAACGTGTGGTCTGGCGTTGTCGTGATGAAAGACGACTCCCTTGCGATTTGATAAAATCGGACGTTTCTATTTTTTTCTCGATTCAGATTGGTTAATTGGCGACAGTACTTGTCCGAATCAATCGTTTCGCCAGCGGGGAGAAGCTCGAAATAGATTATGCCCTTGCAATCCCACCAAACAGAGAGCATCACCTTCATCGGGTGCAAACTGGCCTTTGGTATTGCGTCACCATGCTCACCTGATTGTTTCCATGTCCGTTTGCGCTGAACATTGTTGTAGAGGACCCATTTCTCATCGCCCGTCACTAGTCGATCCAAAAACGACTCGTTATTGAGCCGCCCGAGTAAAGAAACGGCTGCAGAAATTCGCTTGATTTTGTTCTCGGTCAGCAAATGGGGCACCCATATATCGAGCTTCAAATCGAATCCCATCTTTTTTAAACGCTGAAAAACGGTTGATCGGTCAACGTTTAGTGCTGTAGCAACTTCTTCTGTTGAAATTCGCGGATTATTGAGCACTAAAGTACGCAAAACATCGTCATCAATGTCAGAAGGTCGACCAGAGCGTGGCTCGTCTTCAAGGTTAAATTCTCCGCGCCGAAATTTAGCAAACCATTTTTCCACAGTTCGTTTAGCTGGTGCTTCATCCTGATAAACATCCTGAATGTTTTTTACGGCTGCGGCAACGTTTATTCCCTTCCGAAACTCGTAAAGCATAACATGCCGTAAATGCACCTTATCGATACTCATTTTTAAAGTGATATTTCTCGAAGCAGTTTGTATGAAAACAAATGATTTTTTTTTTAATAACAGCTGAAGACGTCACCTTTCCAACGTTATATAATATGTAGATGGAAGTATTAATGACAACACTTTACGACGTTTATAACTCCATCTATTGAAACTCCGCACGAACTTTTGCACTCACCCAATAAAATCATTCTTTTTTGCTTTTATGGAGCAGAACTCTTTACAGAGCTATTGTAGAACTATATATTTTGCGAAATCTGACAATGTATGTGCGCGGAAATTATATAGAACAAAGTGAAACATAGTTCTTGTTTGTAATAGAGAGAGAGAGGGAAGGGGGAGAGAGAGAGAGAGAGAAAGAGAGAGAGAGAGAGAGAGAGAGAGAGAGAGAGAGAGAGAGAAGGGGAGGGTTGGAGAGAGAAATATAAATAAGGTAGAAACATTCAAAATAAAAAATTATTGATAATACTATATATATATATATATATATCATACATATATAATATTTCTGAATAATAAGTATTGCATTATTTTGTTATATTTGCACATATAACAGTACATGTGGCATGACTATGTATTTTATAAACAAAATTTTAGTTCTTTTTTTTTTCAAATCATGGTATTTCTACCACGAAGTATTTGTAAATATTGAAGAAATATAATATTGCATATTATTTTTGTAATTAACAATGCCTCGAAGCAAGTACTTTTTATTGCCTAACGTTATATTCTTCGCAACAGTTTCTAAATTATAGTTTCTGCACTTTATTCTCATCTTTTGTAAATAGTTTTCATTTGTCAAAATACTTGTATCAATTATTATGTGTACATAATATTCAGTTACATCACATGGTTTTTTACATTTAAAACAACTTTGCTTTAAAGTTGTCATATCATTTATTGCTTTCTAAACGTATTCAAGTCCTTTACATAATAATGTATTGACATTAATATTTATAAGAAAATACTTTGTTTTATTATCATAATTACATGGTTTGCAGATCTTATTTCTTTCAAGGCTGGGTAAGGAAGCAAATATATGTTCAGCTAAATAGGACGCGTTGCATATTGTATCTAGTGAGTGAAAATTTCTGGTATATTTTGATTGGTTAAATATAGGTAATGCCATTAAGATAGATGCTCTTTCAAAATATTCAGTTTGTTATTTTTCTCTTTGAAATTATTTTCTCTGCTAGATGCAACAAACTGTTTTCTTTGCCTTGCATACTATCTTTATATACAGAATTCATGCCTATCATATGTAATGTTATATGAAGAAGAGAATCGAAAGCACAAGTGTTGCGTATCATTATTGTTTGTCCTTGTAATGTGACAGATTGACATAAATTTCCATTCTCCATTACGGGAATAAAAACTATATTTTTTGAAACAATGCTATCCCATTCAAGACTTATATTTAAATATGATTTCTTTTTAATTTTTTTAGTATCTTGATTTGATTTTCCCATCCAGTTTTCTTTCAAATTTAACGAGTGTGTAATGCTATCGGAATCAGAGCATGATGATTCATTGGAATGTTTGCGAAACCAATTGAATTCTCTTTCTCATCAGAAATATTATTAGAATTATCTGATTTACTTAATATATCTTTATCGGAAATTGACGTTGAATTAAAACTGATCGATTTATCATTTGTAACGTCTAAATTATATGAATCTCTTACCTCTTTGAAGCTGGCAGGACCAAACTGGCAGAATCGAAATGCACCTATACAATTTTTTAGTACTTATTTTGTGCTAATTTGTGCTATTAATAAAAATTTTGTACCTCGTGCTATTTTGAGAAAAATCGTGGCGCTGCTACCTTCATATGAAGTCAGCAGGACCACAGCAAAAAATAATTAAAGAATAAAAACAAGTACATAAATAGAAAGAGCATACTTTGTGCTAATTTGTTCCATAAAAGAAAATTTGATATTTTGAAAAAAAGTGGCGCTTTACTCTTGAATGTAAACTGGGTCTGTGATAGTTTCTGAAGAAATGCCGCGGGTACAAAATCTGCAATTACATATTTTAGTAGCACAAAATAAGCGATATTTATTGCAAAAGTCGCGACTCGATTCTGCTCATTACAAGTGACATTTTACGCTTGAGCATAAGCTGGGTCTGTGATGGTTTTTGAAGAAATGCAGCGGGTACAAAATCTGCAATTATATATTTTAGTAGCACAAAATAAGCGGTATCAATTCCAAAAGTCGCGACTCGATTCTGCTCATTACAAGTGGCACTTTACTCTTGAGCGTAAGTTGGGTCTGTGATGGTTTCTGAAGAAATGCCGCGGGTACAAAAGCTGCAATCACATATTTTAGTAGCACAAAATAAGTGGTATCTATTACAAATGTCGCATCTCGATTATGCTCATTACAAGTGGCGGCTCACGCTCAAGAGTAAAATACCACTTGTAATGAGCAGAATCGAGTCGTGACTTTTGCAATAGATACCGCTTATTTTGTGCTACTAAAATATGTAATTGCAAATTTTGTATCTACGGCATTTCTTCAGAAGCCATCACAGACCCAGCTTACATTCAAGATTAAAGTGCCACTTGTAATGAACAGAATCGAGTTGTGACTTTTGTAATGGATATCGCTTATTTTATGCTACTAAAATATGTAATTGCAGATTTTGTACCCACGGCATTTCTTCAGAAACCATCAAAGATCCAGCTTATGCTCAAGAGTAAAGTGCTATTTGTAATGAGCAGAATCAAGTCGCAACTTTTGCAATAAATACTGCTTATTTTGTGCTACTAAAATATGTAATTACAGATTTTGTACCCGCGACATTTCTTCAGAAACCATCACAGATCCAGTTTACGCTCAAGAGTAAAGTGCCACTTTTTTTCAAAATATCAAATTTTCTTTTATGGAACAAACTAGCACAAATTATGCTCTTTCTATTTATGTACTTGTTTTTATTTTTTAATTATTTTTTGCTGTGGCCCTGCTGACTTCATATGAAGGTAGCAGCGCCACGATTTTTTTCAAAATGGCACGAGGTACAAAATTTTTATTAATAGCACAAGTTAGCGCAAAATAAGTACTGAAAAATTTGATAGGTGCGTTTCGATTCTGCCAATTTGGTCCTGCCAGCTTCAAAGAGATGTAAATCCAACACCCCATTCTACGTGGCTTCTTAAAGGAAGATTACGTTTACGATTTTATTGTTCACGTGGGAGAATCAACAAGAATAAATAATATGATTTCAATCTCGGATCTCCTTAAGTAACGTTTCTACAAATCTATCTGTAAGAAGCCTCATAACTCGCAAAGTACTTAATGAAAAATGGCTTAGTTATAAGTGTTTTGGAAAGCTCTCGAGATAAGCTACAAGATATGTAAAAATAGGGGGTTCTACATAAAATATTGAAATCGACATTCGTGTGACCAAATGACTATCCAAGGTCAAACCAATGACACCATTTTATGTCCCCTTTGAAACCATACAACTTTTATCTGAAACATTTTTCTCAGCAACGCTTAGTTTTCCAAAGAAATTCTTGATACGGGCACCATGAATACTTGAAGTATACACTCTAAATACTTCCGTTTAGGCTGGAATTGACTAAATATTATTTCCAAGGGTATAAGGAAGTGATTCCAGCCATTTTGATCCAATTTTAAAGGGTGCCGAAAACAGGCCTTAGGGGCCCTTCTCCTTTCATGATGTTGATATGAATGATATACAATTTTTTCATGGTATATATCACGAAAACGTTTTATATAGAGCGAGTGATGAAAGAATTAGAAAAACTGATGATAGGTTTTTTGAAAATGTATGTGGTAATATTGTACAAATACGTACAATAATTTTCTATCAAAATAAATGTTATTTAGTTGGATATGTATATAGTGTTCACCCACTATGTATTGAAAATACAATAGTGAATCCAATTTTAGAAGTAGTATCAAAGTCGATAGATTTTGTGTGGTTAAATTTAGATGATATTAAAAATAAAATTGTATATATTAATGTAGACAACAAATCATACTTTTGTCGCATGCCTAATACGTTTGAGATTCAGTAACGCAGAAATAAATTTATAGTTGTATGTGATATAATAATAATAATATAATTGTAAGTTTTATGTGAGTTAAGGGAAATTCATATAGCAAACCCTGCTTAAAAAATTAGATAGAAAACTATAGAAAATGCTTCTATCCGAATCAATCGTGATTTTGAATCCTCTATTCCACATATGATTCGGATAGAGACTATTAATACGAAACTATAATAATTTCACGACATATTTCATATTACCTTCTATGATATTCTATCCGTCCCTCCTATGATATTCTATCACGTTTTATCCGTTAGTCTTATGATATTCTATCACGTTCTATCCCTCAGTCTTATGATATTTTATCAGTCTTATAATGTTATCAGTAGATAGATTTCTGTTTTTTGGTTACCATATAATAGGTCCCCCATCTGAAACAATATTTTAATTCAAATTTGTATTCAGTAATGCGCAGACCATAGGATATCAAATGTTATAAAAATTGGGCCAGTCAATCAAAAATAAACGATTTGCGCAATATTGCGTCAATTCCGTTGAAGGTTACTTAATTACGATAAATATTCCCTGATTCAATATAATAAAAATATTCGTCACCAATAAATTTCTGATTATTCATAAAAAATTGCATTGGGCATTCTGATTTAATATGATAGAATCAAATGCAAACAGAATTTAAAAATAACTAGCAAGAAATGTAATTGAAACGAATAGTATTGTTATTATATTTATCATGATAGAGAAAATACTTGTTGATTATTCATGATAAATTCATGATAAGGATATGAGATATTTTCGGATTCAATAGATAGCATTCTTATTAGAAAGTAGTAAAATGAATCTGATAGACTCGGACGTCAATTCTTATTGTTTACGGAAGGATTGAATTGGGCACTGATTAAATATGATAGAATCAATTTATATTTTTCATAATAGGAACAGATACGTATTGAATATTCATGATAAGATATGATAGAGATATATGACATATTTTCGGATTCAATAGGATAGCATTCTTATTAGAAAGTAGCGAAATGAATCTAATAGAAAGACTCGGTTGTCAATTCTTATTGTTTACGAAAAGATTGAATTGAGTGCTCTGATTAAATATGATAGAATCAATTTATATTTTTCATAATAGAAACAGATACGTATTGAATATTCATGATAAGGTATGATAGAGATATATGACATATTTTCGGATTCAATAGGATAGCATTCTTATTAGAAAGTAGCGAAATGAATCTAATAGAAAGACTCAGTTGTCAATTCTTATTGTTTACGAAAAGATTGAATTGAGTGCTCTGATTAAATATTATAGAATCAATTTATATTTTTCATGATAGGAACAGATGCGTGTTGAATATTCATGATAAGGTATGATAGAGATATATGACATTTTCGAATTCAATAGGATAGCATTCTTACTAGAAGGTAGCGAATTGACTCTGATAGAAAGACTCGGTCGCCAATTTATACTTGTTTTTATGATAGAATTGAATTGGACATTCTGATTTAATATGATAGAATCATGTAAAACATTTGGATATTATTTTTTCATGATAGATTTTCATAAACTGTTAATCACGGAAAATATAATAGAATATATTATATATGCTCTGACATTAACATATGATATGTGACTTATGTGAAGATCTACAATTAATTTCAATTAATTTTCAAGTTATTATAAAATCTTATTAGATATGATAGAAAATTTATTCGTTGAAATATCCACGACGGATAGATCTTATTCATTCTGATTAATTTACATTTCATTTCAAGCTGATCCTATGCAATTCTATCGTTTTCTATCCATCATTTTAAGCAGGGGAGTTCATTCAACTCAACGTGGGTTAATCCAGGTTCAGTTGAATACGCTATTAATTTATGCATTTATCTTGATGGCTTAACCATGCAAATTTTCATCTTTGTAGCTCTTTTAATTTAATTTGTTGTGTATTTGATATCAGTAATATTTATCCTCTATATAAAAATCTCTGAATGCATCATATGTTTAAAATAGAACGCTATATCCTGAATGCTTGCA